AGCAATACTGATAAAAGAAATGAGCTTATGGTCGATCTCAGTCATGGGGAAGTTAAAAATTAAGACATATATATATATATATATATATATATATATTAAAAACTGCTTTTTAGTATTACATATCTTGTTTTACGGAACAAAAAATAGACATCACATGCACAAGTTGTGTTCCTAAAACCAGTGTTTAACTCCACGTGCACAGGAGAGGGTCAAATTGCATATGCCCCAACTTTGTACAGAGTACCATTCAACAAGTTATACTACAATAGTAATATTGTACCAATTCACATTAGAGTAAACAATATACAAGAAACAATATACAGGGATACAAAAAAAATATTATTAAGCTAGACATTAAATATTATCACATGTGATGATCAAGAATATTGAATAATATTTCAATCAGTTTTGAAATTTTACTATTTAAATGAGAAGAATAAACATGAATATAATATACCGTCAATTGAGGATATACATAATTGACAAGAAACACCTAGTTGAGGCTCAATAAACATTACAATACAATCAGAAGAATACTCCATATCAAAATATTTTGCCATAAAAATATATTTGAGGAAATGAAATAAAACACTTACATACTCTCAGTATAGCACTGAGGATGTCATGAAGACCAAGTGCATCAGCATCTATGGCCCCACTATTCATGTTATACAGAGGACCTGTTTGTTACTATAAAAACAACATCTCTCTCGACCTCAATCAAACTTTGGTTTTAGGGTTAAAAACGAATCTAACCAAGTGAATCATTCAATTTGTTTGATGTATCTGCTTGCATTGTGTGTAATCATTTTGTTGTCCTTTTTTGCATCTTACACATGTAAACACAAACACAAGCTTATACTACATAATTTTTTAACTTTTAATTATATTACTGAAGCTTAAAACTTTGATATAACTATCTTACCACAGAAGGATCCTTGTCAACTTCAAAAGATTCACTAGCATCAATATCATCCTCCATTCTGGCCCTCTTCCTTGAGTTACACAATGCTTTCTGCATGATCTCCAACCTTTTTTCCATCAATTCTTCTGCATTTTCTTCTGCTTGTCTTAAGTGTTCACTGCCCAAAAATAACAAATTTTACTAATTACTCTATATATTTCCAGAAGTGGCTAAACAAGTAAACCTCAGACTAGAAAACACAGTCTATAAGTTATATTTTGCTACATAAAAAATGGTAATTTCATTGGTAACTTTTTATATTTTCAAAGCATAAATAAATAATTTTAACTATGAAGTATCATACAACTCTTTTGGTGGGATTCTATCTGTATTTGCTATTACACAACATAAAAATGATACTACAAAAAACTGTCAAGCTCAACCTGTATACACAGTTCATCTTTACTAGAAGTTATCTTAAAACAAAAACCATAGAACTTTACAACTATGGTTAAATGAGCTGTTGTTACTGGTAGGAAAAGCTTGCACTTGTCAATTTATAAACAAGAACTATTCCATGTAACTTTGTTTTTACTATTTTAAATTAACGTATAAAATTTGCAAAATGAAAGACAAATTCAAAAACTAATAACTGGATATTGACTTATTAGAACCTAAATAAACTTTATAATCTTTTTATAGGAATGTTTAAATGTCTACCAATTGAAACAAGCTGCTGAAATGTTTTAACTAAACCAAAAAATCCCATTTCACTCTCTGGCTTGCTTGCATTTTCAAACATCTCTTATCTACTAGTAGTTATATAAAATACCTTAAATGAATCTTTGAGAGCTATACAACTGTTCAAAATTGCCAATTTTGATTTTTAAGAGATATTATAAATAAAGCATAGCTCACTTATATGTGTTCTCTATCTCAACAAACAGCTCGGAATACTCTTGGCACACTTCTGCTCTTATGTCGATTTCCATTCGAGCCATCTGACGTTTGGCATCAATCAATTCTTGTTCAAGAAACTTCACTAACTGGATAAGCTTCTGTAATAATAATAATAATAATAAAAATGTAATAAAATATTGGTGAAATTTTATGTTTATTACCAAAAATTCCATGTGGGTAGAAGCAATGACCATATTTCTTGTGTATGTGGCATAATGATACACAACACATCTAGTTAACTATTTTCCTAAATGTCAGTACAAAAACTAACCCATATGAAATACCACAGATTGCTTTCAAACAACTAAAATAATGGCTAATGTATAAGTAGCTTAAATTATTACACTTCACTACTTCAGATTTAATCTAAGAAATTATGAGAAAGCTGTTACTCAATGTGCCAAAATATGAGCTAGTGAACATTTCTATCATTGGTGTGCAAATCAGTTTGTTCTGATACATTTTCTCAACATCACAATTTAAGTTCTACACACAAAATTAGAAGTGGCAAAAAATTCTAAATTCATAAGAAAATTACATCTGAACACAAGCAATACTGATAAAAGAATGAGCTTATGGTCATCTCAGTCATGGGGATTACTGTACATGAAAGTTATGTTACTCTTTCTATTGGTGGAGAACTACAGCATTATGATGATTTTGCCACAGGCTAGCATAATATACACAGACATGTGTAGGTGTGGGAGTTTATTCAAGGCTTGTAGCATGGATAGGAAATTCCATGGCAGTTGCATGCAAGGTAATAGCTCTTAGTGGTGCAGAGAGGTAAGTAGTGTTTCTGAGCTAAGTTATAGAAAAGATGTATAATCTTTATCAATTAACATAAACGTACTTGACTACAAATATTTCTCAAATAGTCTTTTAACACTAGCACTGCCACACTACAATAATTTTGAGAACTGCATTTTAAATGGCAGTGTTAAAATGAAATATAACTCAAAAGTTTTATTTAGGCACATCAAGCCAAACACTGTTTGCTAAAACACCATATAAAACATGAACAATTAAGCATAAAACACTTCTTCAATAAATTAAATACTATAATAAAATAAATATATCAAAAGAAAACAGGAGGTAAACAAGTATAAACAAACACACACACAAAACTAAATAAAAAGGAGTAGGTATTTATTTTCTAAACAATACACATTTGTAAAAAGACCATAAAAATATTATGCAATTTTGTAATGTGAATGCACTTTCTTGTAAATAAACTTCAAAGTAACCTAATTAACACAATTCTTGCAGATGAAATGCTTTTCAGCTTTTGTTGTGCATTTACCATAAGATCCCAAGACTTAACACAATACTCAAAATGAGGCCTAACCAATGACATATATAACTTCTTTAGACTTATATCCAATATCTCTGTAGCCATAAACTAAAATCCTACTCACTAGCAATAGCACACTACTTACAAAATTAAGAGACCAATCAACCAGAACATCAAGATCCTTTTCACTGTTAAGGTTATTCCTATCAAAATTATACCTATAGTTTAAATTATGATAACCCACATGCATTACCTTGCATATATTATAATGAGAAGCCATCTATCATTTATTTGTCCAACTGACCAAATAATCTAAGTCCTTTTGTAAAGCAGCAATATCCTCATCACAACCAGGAACCCCCAAGAATTTAACTCTTTTACTCAGATCTCGGTCCAATCAGCCAAGTTTGTGACCCAAAGTTGACAGTTAGTTTTTATACTATAACATCTAATATGTTCTGTGTATCTTCATGATATTTCACAAGCTCTCAGTAATCATTAAGAATCATTTTTAGATAAAACTTCAGAATTTTTAATAAAGTATTTTCACTAAACATTTCTCCATGAATATATGGAGTCAAAGTGTTGGCAACTCCTAGTGAAAAGTGATTTTCCTGTTAACTTTCCATATGATTTTCTTCATCTGAAAAACCTCAAATTTCATTTGCATGATCTCTAAAACCGCCTAAAAAAAAGAAGAAGAAAAAACCCTAAATTACCCTTTTTTCTTTCAATAATGACTTCAAATTGTAACATGAAACTGCTTTCGTTTATCCTCAATAGCTTTAAACTCATAACAATGTACATATGTTTATATTTAAATTTTATTGCCTTTTGAACAGTGTGTCATGATATAAAAGACTGTGTAGTTTAGATATTATTAATTAATATGTTTTGTGAGGGAATATTTTATTATTTAGTTTTTATAATAATAAGAGTTAAAAGCAGATGATTGTAGGACGTTATGTTTATAAGTCATTGATGTTGAGAATATCGAACGTAGCATGCAATACATTGACATCGAGAATATAGAGATTTCTAGAAGTCCAGAGAATTAAGTGATAAAGACATAAGTAGTGTGAGACGAGCAAAAACAGCAGACAGACAATAGCAGAAGAGAGTAAAGTTATGGGCAAGGAAAAGTTCAGCATGAAGTTAACTACCATAGAAGTGATAGGCTTAATGTTTAACATGTTAGAGTAAGACTAACAGTAGAAAAGCATGGTTCTAAAGTAATTGAATGAACCTGAGTGCACTTTGACAATAGGAACAGAGGATATTTAGAAGAAAGAACACCAAATGATTGCGGTAACTCTCACCACAATTGTAAGTGAATAACACACAGAATACTAGTGCGATAGTAATAGAGAAGATAGTTCGGCTTGTCAACTGAAATTCTAAAGGAATTGAATAGGTCTACATGGACTTTAGACAACAAGAAGAGAACTATATATAAATAGTGTTTATGATATGTCTATAATCTCTATAGTGTGAAGACTGTTTTACATATGTTTAACTTGTTCCGAATATATGTACATTATGTAAAAAGAAGTAAAGTGTGTGCTGTTTATTCATCATTGAATTTATCACTAACAACTCACAGACACCTACTGTAGAAACATTCTAAGCCCAACGACAACACAGTATATATTTATACTATTAAGAAATATAAGTAAAAGCCATTTATTTCAACAATTGGTAAAAAAGAATTTAATTTTTTTAAATTCTGACTGTGTCTAATTAATATTTGCACCATATAAATTTAAATCACTAAATAAACCTATAACTCACGTTACCCTATTAAATCACGTAACACATGGACTACTTTCATGCCCATCTTGTGAAACTTTTTATTATTAATATTCTTTATTTTACTTAAACTAACTTAAACTTTTTTTAATTTTTACACTTTAGTTACTTTCATAGTAATGAATAAAGAATACACATGAAAAACAAGGAATAAAGTACTTACCTGGATCTTTTCTTTTTTTGCTGTTGAGATGACATCTAAATCTACTTTTTTTTATACTAATGGTACTACTGCACTAAATAATTTATTTAACTAAATAATATACCAATGTCCCATAACTATAAAAAAAATTTCTGGCTTTCTAGCTATGTAATAAGAGCCATTAAAAATCAGCTAAGCTTGTAAATGTTTCCTCATGGGAATATAGTTTGAACTGGAAGCAAAATAGACAATTCTCTGTACAGAAAACGATGTAATATGTCATTTGATAGATAGAAACCTTGGCTTTCTATTGGTTACAAATAATATAGTATTAAATATCAGAAAGAACTACTGGTAATTTCTGAAAGAGAGGAAGTAACATGTGGGTGCAGCAAAAAGTGTCTGATTTTCTATTTGATGACTCTGTGACAGCTGGTCAAGGCAAGAGGGGTGTGATTTCCTCTTTTATGGCCTGTAACTAAATAAGGTTGAATGCTAGAAAAATTATGCTTTGCCTGAGCAATGACAACATTATAATATGTAACTTCCTGAAGACGAAAGGCTGAAGACTTTCTAAACGTCGTCATCCACATTTGTAGGTTTCTACAACAAGCAGTTGCTGTCCATTTGAAACTTAGATTCAACTTACATTAAATTTCATACCTCTTGTATGGGTGGTAAATAAATTAGAAAAGAGGGGCTTCCTATAGAGAAAATGTCACAATTCTCATACTAGGGGAAATTAAGGATTTATTAAAATATTGCCTTATAAAATTAAGAACTTCAAACCTTTATACTATTAAAATATGGATTATTAACAACATTTTTATGTTATATTTATTTGTATACCATGATAAGAAAGTGATTCAATTAAATTTTGTTAACATAATCAGCAAATTTCAGTAATTTATTGACTATTCCTTCACCTATCATTGATGTAAATCAAAAAGAGCAAAGGTCCTAACACTGAGCCTTGAAATACCCCATTTGTGATATTAATCCAGTTTGACTGAGCTTCATTTATAACAACCACCTGTTTTCTTTCATCCAGCCATTCTTCTATCCAATGAGCTGACTTATCCCCTACACCTACATCCAGAATTGATTACACTAATGATAACAGGGTGGAGCGGTTGTTATTATTTAGTGTTAGATAGACAGAGTGGTAATGGAATCACCTCTAGGTCCGACTCTTGCAAATATTTTTCTATGTTATATGAACATAAATAGCTGGATAATTATTTCCTTTATTACAAACCAGTATTACATAGAAAGTATGTTGATGGTACATTTTTTTAATCTTACATAACACCGATCACGCCAAGAAGTTTTTAGAATACTTAAACTCACAACGTCCATGTATAAACTTTACATGCATGATGAAAAAAAACAATAACTTAGATTTTTTTATATACGTTCAAATAAACAATCTATATCATATGTATTTACCGTAAAAACAGTTACTGGCTTATATACTCATTTCGACAGTTTCATACCAGTCTCCTTCAAACATAACTTCGTTCTAAATAATATGTGTTCTGACTACTTCTGTCTTCACTCAGAATACACTAATTGCTGAAGCTAATATAGCTTGATGCTAAACTCTCTTTAATTAGGAGAATTTCATAAAATGTAGAAAATTTATGCTTAAAAGTTGACAATGAATACTAACCATCTACCCACATGATTCTTTTGAAAACTAGAGCTAGAAACTGTTAATCTAGTTTGTTGGCCGAACAAAAAAAAAATCAATCAATCAAAATTAGAAATTTTATATTTTGTGTATTTGTTAATGGATTACTTTGAAACGTGGTATGTGAAGTAAGAATCCAGTAGAACACCTCCACTGAAAATATGTGATTACCAAGTTCCAAGGTATAGAAAGTGGAAAATTGCTAAATTATCATTCCTGTTAATAATGTGTCTTGATGTTACAATTCTCATACTGGGAGATTGAGGATTTTTTAAATATTTCCTTATAAAACTAAGAACTTAAGACTTATATAATATTAAAATTTGATTTATTAACTGTAATATGATGCAAAGTTTATTCTTATACAATTATTATAAAGTAGTTTAATTATATGTGAAATGTCACTTTCTAAAAAGTTGTGACATGCACATTCTGACCTAACTGTAGCATGAAGATTAGGAGCAAACAAGGATTAAAAATTTGTTAGTTTTTGCAAACCAGAAGACATTTAAAATTCAAAAATTACTACTGCAAGAAACTCATGAATATAGGAGGGATAGAGGTAGATGTTTTCCCTCATAACAATTACTCCAAAATATTTCAGTGTTAGAAATATAAATACACTGTAAATGTTACTGTAATACAGCCATTATGGTGGTGTACAACTCTTGATAAAAGCTTAAGCCCATGAAATAAAGAAATATTTCTAAAGATCATCACTGTAAAGCACAAAAAACAGTAAAATTACAGTGTTGGAAAAATTTAAAGAAACTACCTAAGTGTATTTTTATTTCAAGGAAATTTTTTCAATTAAAATTTATCAATGCTAATAATAGATATTGAGGTAAAAGAAACAAAACAAAATAATACAATATTATAAAAAAGTCATAATTTGTCACCTGGTTTTTCCCTCAGCCCAGTCATGTGTGCTAAGAAGCCCCAACAAAACTGGGAGGCCAAACTTTCTGCACCAAACTAGATATATAGGACTAACATGAAGCCCCAGATCCAGCTGCTAGGAGAGCAAGGATTGCATCATCATTGGGCAAGCCAGATAACTGATTATAAAAGTTAATAATTTATGATTTATATGCCAGCAACATTTAAATTTTAATAGAGTATGCATGTACTACTTTTTCTTTGATACTAACTAAAAATGCTGTTGTATCCGTGAACAATGTGCTCAATTAATATTTCAGTCAATACATATAAAAATAATGGGTTACATCATGATCTTTTTTCAATAACTCTGTACTTTTCTTAGGGTAAATGTTAAAGGATGGTGATAAGTTAATACAATTACTAAGGTACTGGTAAAATTCAATTGTTTTGAAATTTATTTATATATATATAATAAAAAAGTGACAGTACTCTACATTATTCTTTTATACAATTAATATTTTTTCCCCTCTCTTTTGATATGCACTTTTTATTGTTCTTTTACTACAGATCTGCCCCAGCAGCCTCATAAGCACCAGTAACAAAGCTTTCTGGATTCACTCACCAAGCAGTTTTGGCAATGCTCGACTTTCCATAACAAATGTTGTAGTTCAAGTTGGCATTTCTTTGAACAGTTTTTTTAAATCATAAACCCATATCCTTAAATTATGCATTGTTTTAATATATATATATAAAAAAAGAAGAAGAAGAAGAGAGAGAGAGTGTGTGAGACACAGATTAGTTATTCAAACACAATTCTCAATGCATGACTAGGGATCTGCAAAAGGTACAAACCAACGGAGCTGGAAATATTAAGATGTTATTCAATTCTACAAATTTACAATTAAAATAAAATGTCTTGCAAAAGAGTGCCAGTGGGTCAAATAGCAAATTCATATGATTGTAATGAGGTAGTCTGAAGCAGAAAAAGAATTTAGCAGTGAAATAAATATGAGGCCCAAACTATCAATTGATTCACCATTTGCCACTGAATTATACCAGTTTTGGGGAACTCTTAGCCCTCATCAGTAACCCTATTCATTGACTAATTAAGAAGAATAAATGCTACATATTCTTCAAATGTTATAACTATAGGGTCATTGTAGTAAGTAAAAGACAACTAAAAACTTATCTTTCTGCAAGAATAGGTTTTATAATGTATTGTACATTAAACTTATAAGGTACAAAGAGTTTAAATCATACAGATATATATTAACTTTCTGAAATCTTCAAATATAATTATTAATTTAAGTTTTATTTTATATAAATTTTAATGTTTAAGTAATATTCACTTCTAAAAAAATTTAGCATAAATCTTTCTACTGCTTAGTACATTTATTGCTAAATCTATTTTTCTAATAAATGTAGAACATCCCTTAAACAATAATTCAAAACCAAATTTATAACCTGATACACTTCATCAACTTTGGATTCCTCTGGATTAGCAGTTTCTTCTTCCTCTACTTCCTCCTCCTCTACAAGACTTTCTTCCTCCATTATTGACGTTGAAGCCTTAGCCACTTGCCTCCCACGACTAAAACTGGACCAGCGATGACTGGACATAGCCCAAGCTTCTGTTAATCTGCTAACAACCTTGCTGACCACTGATGACTTTTGTGGATCATGCCAGTCAGTAGTCACAATCTGACAAGATAGATATTTCTTTAAGTAGATGTATAAGAGATACTCCAAAACAAACTATTTATACAAATTTTTCTAATGTTCATAATGAATAATAATCAACACAATAATTTATCAATGAAACTAACTTATCATCATAACACATTTTCCAATTTTGAAAATACCTTATGAAGAATGTTTATTATTATTGTTACCTTATCTAACCAAATAAGTTTCTAATTTCTACATTTTAGTTACTTTTATAAAAATAAATAAACCTTTAAAAAATCAGCTAAGATTGTCGATGTGAATACAGTGAGAAAAGGTTATAAACTGAAGGTGAAATAAACAATGTTCTATACAGAAAATAATGTAATATAATACATCATTTGAGATATTAAAACCTTGGCTTTCTATTGGTTAAAAATAATATTGTATAAAATGTCAGAGAGAACTATTAACAATTTGTGAAAGAGAGGATATGACAAGTGGGCATGGGAAGTGGATCTAATTTTACAGTTTATGACTCTGTAAACAATTAAGTTTGAAAGTTATAAAACTAGACATTCCCTTAGTAACAGCTTATCATAATGAGTATTTTACATTAAATTCCATACTTCTCAGAGAGGTGTTAAATTAATTAGAAAAAATGGAAGACTTAGAAAATAAATGTTAAATTCTCATACTAGGAGATATTGAGGATTTTTAAAATGCTGCCTTATAAACTACATTTTGATGCTAAGTTTATTCTTATACAATTATTATAAAGTAGTTTAATTAAATGTTGAATGTCACTCTCTAAAAAGATGTGACATGCAAACTTTGACATACCCAAAGCAAGAAGGTTAGACATATAGTTTCCTGAATTTAGTTTTCTACATTTTGTTTCTTTATATACAAATGCTGGAATTAGTTTGCTTGGGTTAAATCATCCAAAAGTTAAAGTTAATGTGGCAGTTGCAAACAATGCAGCATAAAAATGATTCTTTGTATTAAAAAGTGATAAAAAATATATTACACAACTGACTTATTGCCTCAAACAATTTTTCACTCTTATCATTCTGCTTGAAAATAAATCATACAGTCAAATTTGTTGCAAGCGGTTAACCCTGTGTGTACAGGGTCAGTCTATTGGACTAAGCCCATTATTGGAGAATTAATGTTTACTATAATTCTTAAAATTTAAAAAGCTTTTAGCAAACATCAGAATTTTTAATAACGTATTTTTGCTAAAGATGTATCTGTGAGTTTTAATACTGAGTTAGTCTGACTCAGACTAGGCTGAGTGCAAGATGATTTTTATGTTAAGAATAAAAAACTGTCTTTCATCTTACAGTTTTTATATTTTATTTGCATGTCTTCTAGAACCTCATAAATGAATATCAAGTTTTTTTCAGGAAAAAGATATATTTTTTCTGTTATTTTTACTTATCATAATACAACCATGTGCTGCGATGTGCTGGCACTCATGAAGGAATAAGTTGCTTATCTGATATATAACAGGCAATAAAACCATTAACTCTCTCGCTACAGTTAATTCGACCAGGTTCATAACCCCAAATTGACCGTTATATAGTTTCCATACTATACTCTTTGTTTTGTGTATCTTCACAAATTTTTGCAAGCTTCCACTATATATTACAAGTCTTCTGTATGAGGAAGGAAGAAAGAAAAACAGAACTTTTAATGACGTATTTTTACAAAAAATTCCTCTATGATTCTTATGTTAAGATTTCAATTTTTTTTATTCATCTGAAATTTCAAATTTCCTTTGTGTAATCACTAAAACCTTCTAGATAATAAAACGTTTTTTTTCAGTAAAACTTTATATTTTATCTGTTATTTTCTCTACCCTAATTTTATACACATTCAGCCAATTCTATTTACCTCATAACCACCATAAAAGAAAATACAAACTAAATCTAAGTTCCTTTTTTCTTCTAGTATGACTTCAAATTGTAACAGGAAACCAATCTTTACAAACCTTAAGACTTAATAAAAAAAAATTATATTTTGTGTATGAAAGGATTGTAATGTTTACTGATAATCTGCCAAATTTCATTAACATAAGCTTACTAATTTAAAAGTTATAACATGAAAACTATAACAAGCACAAAATGGTTAAGAGGCCGGTCCCAGGGACTGAACCAATGCTGAAAGAGTTAATGTATCGAATTACATAATGTTGGGCTTGTCATAAGTATACCCCATGAAGAATTTTATTATTATTCTTTATCTAACCTAATAAGTTTCTATTTTTATATTTCAGTTACTTTTGTAATAAATGTAATATAATACGTCATTTGATAGATTAAAATTTTGGTTTTCTATTGATTACAAATAATACAGTATAAAACATCAGATATGTTGGCAATTTGTGTAAGAGAAGGTACAACAGGTGGACATGGCAGGAGGGGTCTGATTTTTTTAGTTTATGGCTCCATTAACAAATAAGATTGAAGGCTATAAAAATTATGCATTGTCTATATTTTAGTGAATAATTTATATTAAATTCTGTACCTGTTTGAGGGTTAGTAAATAAATTAGAGAAGAGGGAAGACCTACAGAGCAAATGTCACAATTTTTATATTAGGGTAGATTGAGGATTTTTTTAAGCATCTCCTTCAAACTATGTTTTGATGGCAAATTTATTCATACACAATGATGACAGTTTAACTCTCACTACAGTCTCGGTCAAATTGACTGAGTTCACGACCCTAAATTGACCTTTATAGTTTCCATACTATAACTTCTAATATGTTTATCTTGCAGACAAAAAATCAAACTTTTTATGAAGTATTTTCACTAAAAATTTCTCCACGAATAAGTGGAGTCAAAGTGTTGACTGCTGTGAGCACAAAATGATTTTCACATTAAGATTAAAAATACTTTTCTTCAACTGAAAAATCTCAAATTTCATTTACTTATTTTCTAAAACCTCCTAAATAAATTTCAGATTCTTTTTCAGTAAAACTTGATATTTTTTCACTTATTTTCTCTACTCTAACACTATACGTGGTTGGTCAAATGGACCAAGCATGTAACCATCAAAGAACAAAAAAATATTTATACGACCCCTTTTCTCTTTCTAAAATGACTTCAAATTGTAACATGAAACTACATTTGTTTCTCCTAAATAGCTTTAAACTGTAACAGTATACATCTGTTTATAGTTAAATTTTATTGCCCTTTGAGCCTTGACTAACTGATATTCCTGCTGTAAAATTTGTAAATCACTTGACAAACATGTGGTTCTCATTATGTTAATGAATTATATTATGCATATTATTAAAAACAAGAAATAAAGTACCTACATGAATCTTCTTTTTTGCTATCCACGATACTCAATTCTACTTTTGGACATAAATGGTAGTACTGCACTGAATAATTTTATTTAATTAAATAATGCACCAAAGTACACTGTACAACAACATGCAAAAAGCGAACAATGTCCCATAACTATCACAATTTTTGTGGCTTTCTGCTATGTGACAAAAGCCAATGAAAATTCAGCTCAAGTCATCAATGTGCTTTCTGTGGAAATAAAGTTTGAGCTGGAAGCAAAATAAACAATTCTCTGTAAAGAAAATAACTTTAATATAATACATCATTTGTTAGATAGAAACCCCAACTTTCTATTGGTTACAAATAATATAATATTAAATGTCAGAGAGTAATATTGACATTTTCTGAAAGGGAGGATAATAATAGCTGGAGACGGCTTGAATGGGTAATGAAGAAAAACTTTAATATAAGTTTAACATAACATCAAATGTACAATGTTTCGACAAGGTTTTGTCATCATCAGGTACAAGTAATTTACACTGACACGGATATATATATAAATTATTGAACATAGAAGTCACATGACCAGAACTGTGGTGAAACTTAGAAGAGGTATCTAGGCACCCTGGGGTGTTGGTTTAGAGTAGGGTTGTTTTGTTCAATTAAAATGGATT